GTCTATAAAAGACCTCGACATTTCACATGACTATAAAATAACTTCTGCCAAAAGAAGTTCTTTAAAATCTGCTCGTCTTATAAAAAAATTTATTAACTCTGCTTCAAATAGAAGACTTTCAAAACAGCTTTTTGCCTGTAGGCCCTCTTCAAAAGCTTTTCTCCTTATGGAAAACTTCTGAAAGGCGTTTTGCCTATATTCGACTTTTTCAAGCTTTTCTACACATAGATGACCTTCAAAAACTCTTCCGCCAAATGTAGACTTTTCAAAGCTCTTCTGCCAAAAAACAAATATTTTAAAGATTATCTAGTCTTTCTATAGAAGATCTTTAATAATTACTTAAAGTGCTCTTAGTCCGTTATAAAACCTTTAATATCTCATCTGGCTATATAGAACACCGTCAAAAACTCTTTTATGACTTCAGAAGCTTTTCTGTCTATAAGAGACCTCTAACAGTTCTTCTGGCCGTAGAAATCCTTTGAAAGTTTGTCTGCCTATTTTATACATTTAAAGCTTTGTTGTCTAACTATTTTTAAAAACTCTTTTGCTCTATGGGCGACATTTGAATGCTCCTCCACCTATATCTATAAAAGCTCTGTGGCCTATATCAACCCTCTGAAAGCGTGTCTGCCTATTTAATACTTTTGAAAAAACCCTATATGAGACATTTGGAAGACTTTCGAACTCTCTTTAGCCTCTGTAAAATACCTAATTGATCTTTTGCCTATGGAAGTCCTCCAGAGCCTCTTCTGCTTTCCTCATATTATACCCTACATCACAAGGTGGTCAGGGTATTATGTCTTTGTGCATATGTTTGTAACAGGCAAAAGGAAACGAGATAGACCCATAGTTCCTTTTGATGATCTGCATAGAATCACATTCTGAGTCGATTTATGCATGTCCGTCCGTCCGTCTGTCCATGTATTTTTTTAAACAAAGTACAGTTCGCATTTATTTAGATATAGCTCCCATATATATCTTCGTCCGATTTGCCTTTTATTGTGCACCGAACGTGTAATATTAGCCCGAATAGTATGAAATTTTGCACATACAACCAAATTAGGCCTGAAAATAAGTATGACAAATTTGATCGAAATCGGTTCAGATATAGCTATAGCTCCCATATATATTGTTCATCCGATTTGTTATTTTTGTCCTCCGCAGCCGTAATATGCACTCTGTAACAACAATATTTGGCGAATATATATCAAATACAGCTCAGAAATACATTTGCTAAATTTTATCGAGATCGGTTCAGATTTGGATATAACTCCCATATATAACATCGTCCGATTTACCTTTGATTGTGCACCAATCGTCTAATATTTGTCCAAATGGGATGGAATTTGGCACCTAGGATCGAATTTAGTCTAGAAGGTAGTATGCCAAATTTGGTGAAGATCGGTTCAGATATAGCTATAGCTCCCATATATACTGTTCATCCGATTTGTTGTATTTGTTACCCATAGCCGTAATATGCCCTCCGTAACAACAATATTTGGGGAAATATATCAAAAACAGCTTCGAAATACCTTTGCCAAATTTTATCGAGATCGGTTCAGATTTGGATATAGCTCCCATATATATCTTTATATGATTTCAAATTAATTTTGCACAGATACAAATGCTTCGGCATATTTAGTCCTTTGAACTTTAAATTATAATTATAATCATAGCGTGTATGATTATATTCTCCCATAAAAACTGTTAATTGTTATGCGCAGCTCTACTAAATTAGCAAAGTGGTGTAGGGTATCATAAAGTCGGTCCCGCCCGTCTTTAAGACTTTCTTTACTGGTTTTTATACGGGTTTCAAAAGTTTATTTCCTTATATTAGCCTAATAAAATCTCACTAGTCCATGAAAGACATTTAGACGACTTTTGTCTCTAAAAGACCTTCAAAAGCTTTTCTGTTAGGAAATAAATTCCAAAGCTCATATGTTTACAAAAGTCTTATGACAATAGAAGACCTCTTAATAATAATCTGTGTATGCAAAAAAAAAATAAAAAAAAACTTTAAAGTACCTTTGCATATTAAAGGCATGTTAGACCTTCTTTATCTATGGTAGAATTTAAAATATCCTCCGTCTAAAGGAAACGTAGCCTTTTCTGTAAAAAATCCCACAATAATTACCTTATCTATTCATGTCAATGTATTTTGCTTGTAATTTTCACAATTACTTGAAGCAATGAATTTTCGTTCGCTGCTACCCCAAACCTTAAAACCTATTTTTCGATTTCAGCACTCTACAGACTTTCTTTTTTAAGGTCACAAGTAAGTGTAATTGCTTTGTGCCAAAAAAAAACCTAGGCAAACCAAAGATTTTTCTCAAATTCTAGGCAAACAAATTCTGATCCACAACAAGAAATCACACAGCAACACCACACAGTCACGAGAAAGAAAGAAATTATTTTCCAATCAAAACATCATTAAAAAAATGTTTTTTTTATACCCTCCACCAAAAAAGGTATGGAGGGTATATTAACTTTGTCATTCCGTTTGTAACTCATCGAAATAATCATTTTAGACCCAACAAAGTATATATATTCTTGATCAGCGTAAAATTCTAAGACGATTTAGCCCTGTCCGTCCGTCTGTCCGTCTGTCCGTCTGTCCGTCTGTCCGTCTGTTGTAATCACGCTACAGTCTAAACGAATTAAGATAGGAAGCTAAAATTTTGCACAGATCTCTCTTTTGTCTGCAGGCAGGTCAAGTTCGAAGATGGGCTATATCGGTCCACGATATCGTATAGCCCCCATATAACGGTACCCCCCGATATTCGGTATTTTGATGATTTTAGCCACATTTTTGAACGGAATTGTCTGAAAATCCACACAAGGAGTTCCTTGTGGGTACTTTATACCTCAGCAGAGAATTATCTATATAGGTCCACAATATCGTATAGTCCCCATATAACGGTACCCCCCGATATTCGGTATTTTGATGATTTTACCCACATTTTTCAACGGAATTGTCTGAAAATCCACACAAGGAGTTCCTTGTGGGTACTTTATACCTCGGCAGAGAATTATCTATATAGGTCCACGATATCGTATAGCCCCCATGTAACGGTACCCCCCGATATTCGGTATTTTGATGATTTTACCCACATTTTTCAACGGAATTGTCTGAAAATCCACACAAGGAGTTCCTTGTGGGTACTTTATACCTCGGCAGAGAATTGTCCATATAGGTCCACGATATCGTATAGCCCCCATATAACGGTACCCCCCGATATTCGGTATTTTGATGATTTTAGCCACATTTTTCAACGGAATTGTCTGAAAATCCACACAAGGAGTTCCTTGTGGGTACTTTATACCACGGCAGAGAATTGTCCATATAGGTCCACGATATCGTATAGCCCCCATGTAACGGTACCCCCCGATATTCGGTATTTTGATGATTTTACCCACATTTTTCAACGGAATTGTCTGAAAATCCACACGGGCAGTTCCTTGTGGGTACTTTATACCTCGGCAGAGAATTGTCCATATAGGTCCACGATATCGTATAGCCCCCATATAACGGTACCCCCCGATATTCGGTATTTTGAAGATTTTACCCACATTTTTGAACGGAATTTTCTGAAAATCCACACAAGGAGTTCCTTGTGGGTACTTTATACCTCGGCAGAGAATTATCTATATAGGTCCACAATATCGTATAGCCCCCATATAACGGTACCCCCACGGTATTCGGTATTTTCATGATTTTAGCCACATTTTTCAACGGAATTGTCTGAAAATCCACAAAAGGAGTCCCTTGTGGGCATTTTACCTCCTCAAAATGAAGTGTCTATGTAGGTCCACGATATCGTATATCCCCCATATAACTGTAACCTCCGGTATTCGGTATTTTGATGATGTTAGCCACGCTTTTCGTTGGAATTGTCTTAAAATCAAAACAAGTAGTTCCTTGTGAGTACTTCACCCCCTGAGAGAGAATTGTCTACACAGGTCCACGATATCGTATATCCCCCATATAACGGTACCTCCCGATATTCGGTATTTTATGATTTGATCCACATTTTGTGGGTACTTTATACCTCGGCAGAGAATTATCTATATAGATCCACGATATTGTATAGCCCTCATATAAGGGTACCCCCGATATTCGGTATTTTGATGTTTTTAGCCATATGTTTCAACGGAATGGTCACAAGGGGTTCTTTGTACACAAGGGGTTCTTTGTGAGCACTTTACCCACCGACAGAGAATTCTCTATATAGGTTAACGATAATGTATAGCTCCCATATAACGGTACCCCGCGATATTCGGTATTTTGATGATTTTAGCCACATTTTCCAATCGTATTGTCTGAAAATCCACACACGAAGTTCCTTGTGAGTACTTTACACGCAGACATAGATTTGTCTTTATAGGTCCACAATATCGTATATCCCCCCATATATCGGCACCTTCCTATATTAGATATTTTAAGGATTTTAAAAGAATTTTTATTGGATTTTATTTTTTTTGAAAATTTTCTAATTTGTTCCAAATGGTGGAGGGTATTCAAAGTTCGGCCCGGCCGAACTTACTGCTTTTTTACTTGTTTTTTTTGAGTTGGATACACCCAACCTGGCCAACTGTCAATCGTTGGTATTTGTGATCTTCGCCTGGTTGTATAGTTTCGTATTTTTTTTCTAGCTCTTCGTTTTTTCGAACGTATGTAGTTTAAGGTTGCCAATTGAAGCTGTAATTTAATCGGCGTGCATAAGTCTTGTTACCAAAAACCGCAGGCGTCCTAAATTGCTTTTTGGCTAATAAAAGAAGATGATAACATGAATGGCCAAACAAATAAATGCTGATTCAAAATTTTGTTTAATGCGAAGGCGTTTTTAAGTTTTTTTTTTTTTTTCTTTTTGAAAAAATTTCAATTTAACCAATAAATTTACAAAAATCACCACCATCAAGTTATTAAATCATTAAATCTTTTTTTTTTCGAATACCATTTTTAATTCCCCTCCCTTTTTTTTCTCTCTTGATCGTTACAGGCAAATATGGGCTCTTTCACACATCATCGCACCCTCTACACATCACTGAGTATATTGGTAAGTAATTTGGCTTTTTTTTTGGCCAATTTGAATTTGAAAAGAAAAAGTGTTAGTTGTCATATTCACTTTTCTTCTTCTTCAATTTCATTAGTTTTGATTAATGTTCAAGCCTGCTATGTTCATGGTCTTTCTTCTTTTCTTTGCTTTCAGTTAATTGTTTTGTCAATAGCGAATGGTGCCCAAATACCAACAAAAAGTAAGTATAACCATTTCAGCCAGATGGCATTTTAAATAATTAATTTGTCTTTTGAAAAATATTTTTTTTAACAATTTTTTTTTCTATCTCTTAAGAATAGAGTTATTTATAAATGTTTATTGGTCTTGTATTATTTCAAATATTATTATTTTTTTGTTTTCAAAAACAAAAATTAGCTTCTCATTTGCTACGAGCGACTTTTCATAATAAATAGTGTAAAACTTACTTTGTAAACTCAAAATTTAACAAGTAAAACCAGTAAAGTAAGTCCTAAAGTCGGGCGGGGCCTATTTTATGATACCATACACCACTTTGCCAATTTAGTTGAGCCCCACATAACAATTAAACGTTTTTAAGGGAGAATTCAATCATACACCCTATGATTATAATCATAATTTAAAGTTCAAAGGACTAAATATGCCGAAGCATTTGTACCTTTTAAATTCGGACTTGTATTGCCCATTTGGTGCGAAATTAATTTGAAATCGGATAAAGATATATATGTGAGCTATAACCGATGAGCTGAACCGATCTCAATAAAATTTGGCAAAGATATTTTTGAGCTGTATTTGATATATTTCCCTGAATATCGTTGTTATGGAGTGCATATTACGGCTGTGGGTAACAAATACAACAAATCGGAAGAACAATATATATGGGAGCTATAGCTATATCTGAACCGATCTTCACCAAATTTGCTATACTACCTTCTAAACTCAATTCGGTCGTATGTGCCAAATTCCATCCCATAAATATTAGACGTTTGGTGCACAATAAAAGGTAAATCGGACGAAGTTATATATGGGAGCTATATCCAAATCTGCACCGATCTCGATAAAATTTAGCAAAGGTATTTCTAAGGTGTATTTGATATATTTCCCCAAATATTGTTGTTGCAGAGTTCATATTACGGCGGCGGTGGGCAAAAATAACAAATCGGATGAACAATATATATGGGAGCTATAGCTATATCTCAACCGATTTCGATCAAATTTGGCATACTTATTTTCAGGTCTAATTTGGTTGTGTGCGCAACATTCAATACTATTCGGGCTGATATTACACGTTTGGTGCACAATAAAAGACGAATCGGACAAAGATATATATGTGAGCTATATCCAAATTTTTACCGATTATCTCCAATTTCAATAGGGTTCGTCCTTGGGCCAAACAATTGATATGTGCAAAATTTCATCTCAATCGGATAATAAATGCGACCTGCATTTTGTTCACAAGAATACATGGACAGACGGACTGACATGCATAAATCAACTCAGAAAGTGATTCTATGCAGATCATCAAAAGGAACTATGGGTCTATCTCGTTTCCTTTTGCCTGTTACAAACAAATGCACAAAGACATAATACCCTGACCACCTTGTGGTGTAGGGTATAAAAACATTAGGTTCGTCCCTGGCGGAACTTTTAATACCCTCTGCCTTTGGTTTAAAAAAAAATATATAAAAGTATCTGAATTCAAATGTGTTCCATTTTAAAATACAAATACCAGAAAGACCGTTTTCAAAAAACCATAAAATGGGTGCGGTCGCTATATGGGGGCCATATAAAAAAGGGGGCCTCTATAGACATTTTTATACTTCAAGGATAATCATCTGGCAAATCTTCTTAAACACCAAATTTGAAACAATTCCGTGGGTAGATGTGATTATCAAAATACCGAATATCGATGGAATCGTAATCTGTGCGCTATAGGAAAACGTGGACTTGAATATTAAATGTTCTGCCACCGGAACTAGAACCCAGTATTAACTACAAATACCAATTTTAGACAAATCCGTGGAAAAATTTGGTAAAAATCATCAAAACACTGATATATAAATGGATATAACTCCCATATATACACTGGTGGCCAAAACTAAATCAACTTAAATCACAAAGACAATAAATGTCCTGTAACTTTTACAAAAATAAACAAATCGTAATTATTTTTCCAGTTTTAAATGAGGGGTTTAATTCATTTTTAAAAAACTAAAAATAAAAATACAAAAATAATTTTGAACGAAAAAAAAAATAATATGTGGAAAACTAAAATGACCCAATTTTTGCTTGGTCAAAACTAAAGCAACTTTTGATTTTTTATTTTAAAATAATTAAGTTTGGCTAGTAGTCGATAGCATAACCATTTTACTGATAGCAGCTACACACTTACGAGGCATTGAATCTATAACACGCTCAGTTTGATCCTTGGTTGTGCTTTCCCAGGCACCCCGAATTCTTGAGAAAATGTTGTGCTTATTTATTTACGAATCTCGCTTGATCTTCCCATCTACGATACTCCAAAGGTTTTCTACGGAGTTTAGGTCAGGTGATTGTGCCGGCCATAACAAAACATCAATTTTTGACTCCCGCAACCAATATTTAACAAGTTTTGATACAAGTTTGGGATCATTGTTATGCTGAAACACCCAAATCAGCCGAATATTTTACTCAGTGTAAAGGAACAACGTGATGTCGAACACATCTTTGTAAACAAACCGATCCACAACTTTCTTTATTTTATGGATAGGCCCAAGTCCATAGAAAGAAAAACAGCGCCACGCCTTTTTGATTTTTTCAGATATAAATGGTTTTTTGATGTCTTACGGGCATGCAGACCAGCTGCCACTACTCGTCTACGCACTGATCTCGAGCTTATATCCAATGATTGCTCTCTCACCAATCCAGTTGAACTCTTAAATAGTTGTTTTTTATTTCTCTCACAATTTGTGGATCAGTACGGGCTGAAGTTTTTCACGGCCTTCATCCGTTATAGATGTTACTACTGATCCAGTTTCAAAAAACCGACTTAGTATACAGAAATAATTATGAAATCACATAAATATTTATGAAATATTTTTCGGAAATCGTTTTCTTTGATATGTTGTTTTGATAGTCACTGATAATTTGCAGCTTTATTCAGGTACTGTATTTGCTTCTAGCCATTTTTAATTTTTTTGGGCAGTACTTAAAAATCGAAAAGAAAAACACATACTGTTGTAAAAAAACTTCTCAAAAAGGATTTATGACAAACGAAATTGTCGAAGGAAACAAAAAGCGTTAAATATCACAGTAAAAACAACTGAAATTGCAGCGGTTATATGAATGTACAACAGAGTTGCTTTTGTTTTGTCCAAGCCAAAATCGAGTTAATTGACTTTACCAAACATTATTTTTTATATAAAAATGAATTTTGGTTTTATGTTTTAGGTTTTTAAAAAGTGAATAAAGTACCCAATTTAAAACAAGAAAAACTTTCTCATTTTCTTAATTTTTGAAAAAGTTACAGGGCATTCATTCTCCTTGTAATTTCAGTTGCTTTAGTTTTGGCCACCAGTGTATCTTCATACGATTTTAGTGTTTAAGTCCCTTACATTCGTTATATGCATTCCACAAGACTGATATATTAGCACCATATATCAGATACAGCCTAGCAATTCATAGATCAAATTTTATCAAGTTCGGTTCAGATATCGATATAGCTCCCAAATGTATATATCTTCATCCGATTTTGTGTTTTTTGTGCACCAAATTGCTAATATCAGTCCAAATGGTGTGAATTTCGGCACTTCCAACCGAATTTAGCATAGAAATAAGTACTTTTAATTTGGTGGAAATCGGTTCAGATATTGCTCTACCTCCATGCATATGTTTCATCCGATTTGGTGTTTAAGTCCCTCACATTCGTAATATACATCCCATAAAAATGATATTTGGTACCAGATATTAGATTCAGCCTAGCAATACATGATTCAAATGATTCAAATTCAAATCAAGATCGGATCAGATTTGGATATAGCTGTCCTATATATCTTCGTCCGATTTTAGGTTTCTTGTGCACCAAATGGCTAATTTCAACCCAAATTGAGTGAAAAGTTGAACTTCCGAGCGAATTCATTCTAAAAGTTAAAATTTAAAACGTGGTGAAAATCGGTTCAGATATAGTTCTAGCTCTGATTTGGTGTTTAAATATACACTCTACAATAATCATATTTTGTACCAGATATCTCGTAGAGCTCAGAAATGTCCAAAATAAACCTTTCTTTTGCGAGAGCTCTACTAAAAATGCATAGTGGTGTAGGGTATCATATAGTCGGCCCCGCCCGACTTTTGAGCTTTCCTTACTGTTTTTTTTTTAATTTTATTGAATGAAAACAAAAAATGTCAGAAATAGCATCAATTTTAGAATAAGTTTAGATTTGTTCGAATTGGTCAAATTTGGCACGAATTATGACCTTCAAACAGCCAATGAAACCGTCACACGCTGTCCGAATGTTGCTCTGCGGTATTTTGACCCATACCCGGCGAAGCGCTTGCTTGAGGTGATCGACACTTTGGAACCTTGCTTTCCAAAATACTCCAGACACAATCCTCTAAGGGATTGGTATCCGGAGATTTTAGTTGCCATTGTGCGCTGGAAATGAAGCGAGGAACCTCGTGCTGAGTGCGATGGTGCTGAGTTCTGTTGGAATATTCAAGGTGTGCGGTCAAAATGTTTGCGTGCCCAAGGCTTTAATACACCCTCCAGAATATTTTGTGATAATATTCGGCATTTATTCTGATGCCACGGTCAATTAATTCGAGCGGAGAGCGACCATCGGCTGTTATGGCGGCCCACAAATGGCCAGCGCTTGATTTCTGCTGGCCAACCGAAGGTGCACATTTTCAGCTGACCACTTTGGCAAGTAAACACGATCATTTTGTTTGTTTACAAACTGCTGTACAACGAATGTTTTCTCATCGGCAGTTCACCACTTTCGGCCAAGCAAAGCAACTCTTCAGCTCCTTTGATTCTATTTTCTTTCTGTTGCGGTGTAAGTTCTTGTACTGTACTTTTCTTGTACTTGTACTTTTTTTTCATTTTTCAATATTTGCCGAATGCAATATTGCGATATGTTCAGCTAACGAGCTATTTTTCGACCACTGGGACGCGGGTTTCGATCAAGTCGCTTCTTTACTTTTCGACCCATTTCTGCTGATGTTGCTGTTTTCTTCCGTCCACAT